CACCTCCATGGTCACAGTGGTTCCAGGTGGAGTTTCACCGCTCAGTGCCTACAGGCTCCCTCAGTTAATTCGGGGGGGGACATTGGGCAGTGGTTGGCATGCTCTGCTTGGTGTCCCCTTTTGGTTCCCTTGCTTTTAATCTGTGACCATCACTCCCTTCTTTTTAGTTGTCTCAAGCAATTAGTTGTTGTGTCCCCAGTGGCCTCCCTTTTTAAGGGAGGCTCACGGTTTCTTTGGTTGGCTTTGGCCCATGATCCCCTGATCCCCTGGACTGAATTTGACCCTGATTCCCCTAAGGCTCATTCCACAAGGGCAAGTTTTTGTTTAGGATTGCCCTGGAGTTTTGGCTTGTTTGTTGGCTTGTGGTTTTTTAAAATACCAGCAGACACGAGTCCTCTTTTGGACCATAGAGTGGGTCGGCAGAATGCAGTGGTTGCATACATAGAACCACTGTGGTTTTTTGCTATTATTTTTCAGTCAAAAAAATGTAAATGCCTGTTTTTTCAAAAGCTTGCAGTTTTATGTGGGTGTTTTCACTGAAGGCATGTGGCAGTGCATCTCTGTGTAACCGAATCTCCAATTTAATGAAGTTATTTCTCTGAAATTTCCTTAGGGTTTGTTTTTGGTTTTTTTACATTGCAATTGCTCAGTGGGAGAAGCCACATAAGCAGATAATTGCATCCACTCATTCAGTTCCCAGGTGGGATCTGGAAAACTAGGCATATGTGCAGGGAGACACTGCAGGGACTGGACAAAAGGGCAATATTTGGGAATTGCAATAGATCAGGAGCTGGAGGAACCCAGGAAGGGTGGAGCACAAAGTATCTTAAGGGCAGGGAATCTGGAAAAGCTTCCCAGAAAGACCCTAGAGGAGACAGGAGACAGTCACAAGTAGGTTCTTGGGGGGCAAGGATCTGGTAGAGCAAAGGGAGAGGATGTCTCACAAGGAGCTGGAAAAGGTGCTGCTGGAAGTAAGAGAGTCCTTTTAGGGATGATGAGGTACAGCTGCTATTGTGATCAACGGATGCATAGTGGGGTGTCTGAAGAAGGCAGGTGAGAGGGACACTGGAGCATCTGGGTCTGCTGGGAGAAGGGAATGGCTGGAGAGGAGGCTTGTGTTGCAGCATCAAGGCGAAAGCCAGGAGAACTGAGACCACACAGCTTGGCAGAATGGGCGCTGACAGATTTATGCAAGGCACAGATTTATGTAAGGTGCAGCATAACTGTCGCTCTGCCAAGCGCTGCTAACTCGGAGCACAATGAGGCTAATGCCACCGTAACCCCTGACAGATGCTGCTATCGCACAGGACAAGCTCTTCAGAAACACGGGACATGTTGCTTTCATGAGGGGAGGGAGGATTAAATAGGTTGTGCTTTTAATCTTTTCCCTGCCCTGGCTCTTGGCATTGAAGATGTGAACAGAGGAGTTCTTGGCATCTCCTGCCGTGGCATTCTCACACCTGCTTTGATCTCTTTTCTGCCAATTTTAACTTTCAATGGACTGAGGAGGAGTGGGAAGGCTCTGCTTCTTACCCTGCTTGCAGCCAGACACGGTGTCATCTCTGCCTGGGGCAGTAAAATGGCTATGCATAGCCCTTTCACTTGTTACTTTTGACTACCACTTTAGACATCAGCAGCTTCTATAGGAAGAGGGTGGGGGACAAAAGACTGCAAAACCTTGAAGGCAATAAGAGGGAACCCCTAGGATGGCATGCTGCAAAACCTTTCATCAGGAGAGGGAGAAATAATTTACTCCCCAAAGAAACCTAAGAGAAAGGCTCTTTGAGTAAATGTGGTCTCTTTTATTACACCAACTAAATAGCAATTTAGTTATCTACTTAGTTGGTGTAATAGATGGTTTATAGTTGGTCTAATAGACAATAGTTAGTTGGTCTAACTGATTAATAGTTATCTATTTGGTGATCTATTTAGTTGGTCTAATAAAAGAGATTACATTTACCCCCAAAATTTGTCAGCCTGTGTCCTTAGACCAACATGGCTACAACCAACAACCCTAAGAGGAAGAAGTTGTCTTGACAGAGACACACAGGAGGAGGACGTGTGGCAACGAGCAGGTAAAACAGAGCTCCAGCCACAGGGAGGGCAGGTGAATCCGACGCCTGCAGAGATGTGCAAGAGCAGGTGTCTCTGCTGCTCTCCGACTGCTCCTGCTCCCACCCCAGGGGATGGCCCAGAGCTGTTTTTAGCAAAGCAGGCATGTCTGGGCAGGCTTTCCCCAAGGTTAGAGGATGGTCTGTGCAGCAGCCTGTTGGAAAGTGTGCTGGGGAGAAGCAGCAGCAAGTATGCAAGACTACGGAGACCCGCAAAGCATGCAGTACCCCTCTGTGCACTCTGCCACGGTGCCTTATTGCCAGCATGCCTTGGAAACAAGAAGGACTTGGAGAAGCGGGGGGATAAACCAGAGGCAGCTTGGGGTGTTTGGACATCCAGCAGAGACCACAGATATCGATGACAACGAGTTTCTCTCTCAACCCATTAGGTCCCCATTTCTCTCCTGTTCCAGGCTGAGCCCTTTATCCTTCCCACTCCAGCACTACCCTCCGTCTCCTGGAGGGCTCCAGCTTGTCCTGGCAGCAGACAGCGAGCAGCAAGGAAGGAGACAGACCAACCGTCCCAAAATATCTCAAGGCTCCTTATAATTCCTCCAACACAGTACTGTCATGCTGTTTCTGCCAGGTCTATGTGAAAGCTGAACTTGTGTTCAAAGGAGTGTTAGTCTTTAATTCTTGACAGCTCCTTTTCCACCACTGGATTAAATGCTCTGCATGTTATTTAAAGTAATATGGTTTCCTATGAAAAAGGAGCCCAGACCAAGGCCTTTTGAAAGCGGCACTGTTATGCTCTGAGAAAGATTTTCCTATTTTCCTTTTCTTTCTTTCTTTTTTATTTATGCTTAAGAGGGAGTGTAATTGGCTTACTCCTTTAGAAATATATAAATCCTACTGCCTGGTTCAGCTTAAATCACATTATCCTTACTTTACTGGCCAGGTTTGTCTCTGATGCCCTCTCAAGTAAGTTTTGAAATATCCCTTTCAGGCACGGACTTAGCTCTGACTGTTGCCTGAAATGTGCTCCTCTTAGCCATGTTTTCATTTGTGTTCTTAAGACTGACATAAACTGGGAACCCATGCATAAATCAAAGATAGTTAAAGCCTATTACTTCATATAGTCTTTTGCATTTATTTTTAGTAAAGAAATTATCCTGGATGTAGATTGTCCGCTGTTCATCTCACTGTGGCCCTGCTAAGCCGTTTGTGTATTTTTGTATGACAGTCCAAGATCCCTGTAGCTTTGCAAGGAGAGAAGCCTGGTCAGGAGTATTTGTAATTAGTTCCTCACAAATTACCAAAGGGTTAACCCTTCCCCTAGCACCATCGATAAGCCCAGGAGTTCAGAAAAAAAGCCGATGGGGAAACCGAATTGGTCTAACCCCTGACTCCCCCATTTTGACATCTTCATGCAATGTATCCCCTCAACACGTTGTGACTTCTCCAATGGTGCTCTCACTACCCTTCCCTCCCTCATCTTGGATAAGTTCCCATCCATGTCTTCCCACAAGAATAATTTCTCTAGCCTTCCCTAACCATTCAACAAGCCATCCCTTCCCATTCAAAATCCTCCAGTCTTCCTGTCCATTAGGGTGGCTTATCGCACCAGTTTCACCCTTAAACTGTGCAGTTTTACTCACCCCTGCCCCAGCTCATCCTCATTGTTAAATATATTTTCATTTTCCCCATTGAGATCATTCCTTCCACCATTACCCCACCAAAATGGGTCTCCTTAGGGCACTGTAGCTTTTTCTGCTGCCAGCTTCCTACCTTCATGTTAAAAGCCACCATGAAAAGCAATAGAAAATGTAGAACATGGGTGCTCTGTAAGAAACAAAAAGACCCTGTGCTGACCACAGAAATCCCAGTGCACAAAGGGTTGCAAAACTGACCAAAAAAGTTTCCAAGTTCTCCAAAAAAACTAATGTCGAACCGGTCAATTTTTTGTTTCAATGTTACCTTTCTTGTATACATCAAGTTCTATTTTTGCTGAAAAATATTTTTGTTGAAAAATATTTGCAGTGGGATGTTCTGATACTGTTGGAATCCTTCCCTTTCCTCTGGAGTAAAATGTACATGGTTTGTGGAGTGTTGTGATGTAGATGGACTTGCATTTGCCAATTTTCACTGAAGAATTTTCCAAATAGTCCCACTTAGGACTTGTTCTGCTGGGATGACAACCTGGAACTGTGCTGAAGACCTGCTCTTTCAGCTCCAGGACTTTAGGACAGAGGTCAAAATCTCAGGTCTCCTTGCAAGCAAATACTGCTTCTCTCCAGCCTTTTCTTGCCATACCCGATGCTCCAGGGATTTTTTTCTAACCTTAGTTCCCATATATAGTGCTAGGAAGTCCCTCTCTACCACACTGCAGGATAACATGAGAACATAAGATGCACTGCACAGAGCAGTACAGCAAAAGCAGTTGGGCGTGCAGGAAACCACTTCCAACAGAAACCTAAGGGCTCATCTACATAGCTTTAAAATGATAGTGATACAGTTATATCAGTATAAAAGACTGCACGCACACATGACTATGTGATGGCACTGGATGTTCCCTAGGAGGAAAAGAGATCCAGCATCCCCTTCATGGATGGCTTCTGCCCTCTGTGCCCAGAAAGCAGCAGAGCAAGAGCAGCCACTTCTAGGTAGCTGTGGGTGCTGGTGATGCATCCCTCACCACAGTATTTCAGCTGCTCTCCCATTGCTAAGCAGACGCAGCTTTTCCAGTCCCTTCGAGCATCCCAAATAGGCCTGCACACATTTTAGCACAGCTAGGCCTGTTAAAAATAAAGTGGCGCAAATAACTTTTAAAATAGGAGAAGATAACGGAATAACAATTTAAAATAGCCTCTTTGTGTGCATTGATTAAGGGAAAAGAAAGTTTCACGAGCACCAAAGGGAAGACTTGGAAAGTTGTTATACTTGACCTACCTTTGGTGTTTTTTCCTCGTTCAATGAGATTGTCATCAAGATAGCTGTACTTAGGAGAAGGAGATGCTTTTCCTCTTACATATTTGTCAAGCCTGGAAGAGAATGGGGGGGAAGGGTGGAAAATCAGCTATATTTATCATGAACGTTTATAGCAAAAGGTTTATTTTAACAAGAAATAGGACACTGTATATAGGACAATATAACAAAAGCCATCAATAACTTGCCAGTAATGAGCAATGGGGAGCATATGAGCTCTCTGCCAAAAAAAAAAGAGAGAGCCACTCCAATACCTTTCATCACCAAGCAACAAAGTTTCAGTAACCAATAATATATTCAACTTGTCCACAAAAAAGCATTCTTTAACAGCAACTGGAAGGCCAAGAAAGTAGAGGTTTCAACCCAATCACCTGGTTGAACTAGACAACATCATCATGTGCCTATTTACCTTAGGTGTTCATTTGGTGTCCTCTGGGGAATTCCTTCTCTTAAGAGGAATAGTAAGCCAAGAGCTTGTTAGATAAGTACGATTGTCTAAAACACTAATGTGGATCACTTCAATCTTTCTAACCAAAATGGTCAGCGGAGGGAAGAAAGGTTGACGTTGCATATAAGACCCCTCAATGTCCACAGCACTTCCATTGCCAAACCACCATGTTGGGTGTTTCCATTGAAAAGTAGGCGGTTTATCATACAAAACCCATTGTGAGGAACTAGGTCAAATCCCTTCCACCATGCACAGCCTGAGGGCTTATCTTCATTGCTAACCCATCTGTGGTTTTTCCTCAGGGTAACTGATATGCATCAGCTATCTCCAAGGCAAAAATGCACTGAAGGAAAAGTGCTCTATTTTTACCCAGTGGTACATGCACTGAGGTCAACCTCTGGTGAGGCTATAGAGCTGTCTTTTCATGGAAAACCTAAATCACACTGTCCTCGGATGCCCATTCATTAACCTGAGATAAAATACACTGTTTCCTGGAGGTAAAAAAAAAAAAAAAGCTGCATTAACACTAAAGACAAGCCCCTAGTCTCCTAGTAATGGAGTCCATGCAGGGACATTATACAGACATCAGCAGGAGAGTAGATGTATTTGGGAAACAGAATCTTTCCCAGAGTATCATGGCCAGTAGTTCAGTAGCCCTCTGCCTCAGTATCCCTTCGAGGCCCAATTCACCCCAACCCGGCCACTCCTCCAAGCCTGCCCACCATGCAAGAGCAGCTTGCTGTTCCAGCCAGGGGATGCAACCACCATCTCAGTTTCCCCTTGAAGAAAGTCTTGCCCAGCTTGGAAGGACACTTGGCCTTCAAGCTAAACCAGAAGGATCCCCTTCCAGGCTAGGGACAGAAGTTATACATCAACCAGTTTAAGTGATCAGAAACTGATTTAAACCTGTAACAGAACAGAAGTTCGGTGCACATAAACCAGTTGCAAAATGTCCAAAACTGGTTTGAGATAAACCTGGTTGAACGTAGTATCAGACTTTACTGATTTAGGTCAAAGTGGTTTATGAAACTTCTGCCCCAGACCCCAAGGTAAGCGAATATACAGTTTGCTGGCTGCCTGAGAGAAGGCTTCTTCTAGCACTCAGAAAACCCCACCTTGGGCCCTTCAAAAAACCAAAAAACCAGCAGGAGCAATCAGCAGGCCCATATTACTCCAACTTCCCCATAGTTCATCTTCTAAACATAAACTTTCACCTATCAAGAATGCAAAGGACTAAAAACAGGTCCTGGCTACTGAACTTCTCCCTCAGCCCTGTACCCCAAATATCAGCCCTTCCTAGGGGCATGGCCAAGAGGCCTCAGGCAGGCTGTCCCTTTCTAGGTTCTCCCTCTCAATTGGAGCGACCCACTCCCTCCTGTTGCTCCCTCCATGTTATAAGGCAGTCTTATATTGTCCCATGACCTTCCCAGTTGGGCTCTAGGGGGGCCTTGACTTGACAAAGTACTGAGCTGACGTTGAGACTTGCCCATAAGAGAGACTGGGCAAGTTGGCACCCTCAAAGGAGCATCCCTTTGATTGGGGGAGTTTTCTTAAGGTCTCTCTCTGTATTCAGCCACCTGTGCATAGCGAGAGCACTCTGAGCCCTGATAAGCAGTACATGTCCAAACAGGGAGAAAGGACCAGGTTATGGCCAAAATATCAATCAATCTTGGTTCAAGCTAGTCTCAGGGCATTGGACTGGCTGATTTTACTAGCCCCTTAACATAGATGCATTGCATTTGCTGCCAGACAAAGAATATTGTATAAAGTTCTGTTATCAGGTTAATGCGTGTTGTCACTCTAAAAATTCTTCCGGCGCATATACACCGTCATGTATTCGGAGGCACATCAACAATCCTCCTGGAAAATCGAGCGTGCCACATCCCCGGTGGAATGGCTGCAAGGTGCATTCTGATATAGCCCCACATGCTTTAATATCAGAAATGAGGCTCTCATCGGTACATATAAACACTAAAATGTACATAGCCGGTTCCAGCTGCGTGAGGAGACTGTTCTAGTTTTTATAAGCACTGTACGGGAAGACTGCTCTCCTGACAATAAAACTATAAAGTCAGCTACAGTCTGCACAAGTCCCCAGCTGAAGGGGAAAATTTCAGTTGCTATATATCACCTAGGCATTGACCAAACGACTTATTTGCAAACCTCTGTATTTGCTTCCACTTTATCAAAGGGTAAGTTAGTGGTGGAAAAAAAATTATTAAAGAGAGAGATGTCTTAGCTACAGTTGTTCAGTACAATACTAGTTCTTCCTTGGGTTCATTCTGTGACCTTCACCCACTCACACTGCAACTTATTCAACTGTAAAATACACCAGTATTTACAAGGGTACTCTGAGGCTTTAATTCATCTTTTTAAAAGTGCTTGGGGATCCTCAGATGAAAGGTGTTATATAATAGTCACTACTGCTGTTGTTGAGAACAAGGTATGTAAGACTGTACCTAATTCAGCAATGTCTGTTCCTGAATAGTGGTATGTTAGGAAGCCCTTGAGTTTGTCAAGTATTTCAGGCTGCTAGGAGTGAATTCTGTTTTCAGTTAAACCCCTGCAAACATAATAAGGGAAGTTAATGTGAAAAAAACCCCACCTTGCAGGAGGAGGTGTGGAATGAAAGGCAGGATTCTTCATCAAGGACAAAAATACTTGACGGTCAATATGGACTATTGAAGACTCAATGAATCTAATAAATCCCTACTGTAATCCCTTTCAATTCTAAACAGGATAAAAGTTATTTTAAGATTTTGGGCCAGATCCCATCATCCTGATATTTGCAATAAGCTTCTGTGTCCTAAGGACTGCGTGACAACGCCTTCATGTTTAATTCCACCTGTTATACACGCGTGTTATATTCCAGGTGGTGATTTATGAACAACATGTCAAGTAACCAGCTCAAAAGTGATCTACTTGTTTGCTGAGCTGGACAAAGAATGGCAGCCCATGCTGTGGTACACTGTATTGGTACTGTAAATGGTTCGCTTCTGAGTAAGTTAGTCGTGCATGAAATGAGCATGGAAAAAAATTCATATACTGCTCTGCTTTTGCTCCAAAACAGGTTGCTTGACTGACAGCAAACCCTATATGATAATTCCTCCCAGGCAGATGGCAAGATCACTATTTGCTCTTCAGTTTCAATTCGCTGCGGTTTTCCATACGCAGCACAGCTACATGATCTACCAGCACAGAGGGTCTGTGCTGCTCTGTGCAAGTTTTACAACACCAGAACCAAAGCATATGGATTAATATCGTGACTCGTTCTCATATTTCATTTGGTTAAAAAAAAAAAAAAAAGGTCTTAAATTTACCTCCAACATTTCATAACTGATCAAATATAGATAATAGCTGCAGAAATCTACCCAAAAGCTAATCGTAGTTTCCTGCACTGTCCCTGACAGACAATACTCTTTTGAACATTTGTGTAGGTGTTGGAAATCTTGCCATACATCTCTAGCTCTCTCAGCACATATTGTTTTTAGGCTGCCATCTGCTAATGCACAGTTCTACCCTGAGAGAGATACAGAAGTGCTCCAGACTCCGGTCTGCTCTGTTTTCAGACTTGCTCTTCTCATTTCCTTCAACTCCCAACACTCGTACTGTACCGCTCTCCACCCATGACTTTAGTTACAAGGACAGGAAAGCCCTCCACGTCACGGTGCATTTTCAGTGATGAAGAGCCTCGACTGAACTGGCATTTGGACATGTCTGGGGAAGAATGAGCTCTGTGCCATATTCAGTATGACAGGCCAGTGAAGGCAAATTCATGTGTGTGGATGTTGCAACATATGCATTCAAAGGGGGGTATTTACTGGGCAAAGGAGCAGGATAATCCACATCTTAAGTCTGAATTTTAAAACACTCTTTGTGAGTTATAAATATGCCGTAAGATATGGCAAATGAGAGAGTTTTCTGTCAAAGGAACAATATCATTAGCATTTTGAATAAAACAACCATACACGCTATGCTATACAAAGCATCGGAATCTAAAAACACAGTAAATATTGGATGATCTACATTACACTTGACTCATCAGACTTCCCTCTGAAACAGTCAGTAGACCGCTTTGACTTACCGCTGATTTTGCTCCAGTAGCATGCATTTTTCAAATATTTATAAGATTATATTGATTTCTCTGGTTTTGTTTAGAAACAATTTTACAGAGGATAATTTGGGTTAAGTTTACTGTGCAGTATCTGTCACTGAAATGCACGGCAAGCTACAAATTTAACTGCAGGAAACTGAGGAATATGTTATCACTTTCAAACTGAGATGTCATACAACCGTTGAATCACAGACGAGTAGGGCTGGCGGGGATCTCAGGAGGTCATCTAGCCAACCCCTTGCTCATGGCAGAATCATCCCTGTCTAAGCCATCCTAGACAAGTGTTGGCCTAGCCTATTTGCTCTGATTGCTTTTTTTTTTTTTCTTCTTCCCACTGTTCGCAGGTTTTCAAAGATTTTGTTTTCATTTGCACCTAAATAAATGCTACAGGTTTTGTTAGCACTGGAAGCTCTGTGCATCCAATTGCCAGTGTCTTATTCTGGATCCTGTGTTCCAACAGGTTTTGTTAGCACTGGAAGCTCTGTGCATTCAAT